GTCTAAAGTGCTTTACTTTTCTGCTCCTTCATTCTCAGTAACTGATTTCCATTCTCAAGGGCCTTGAGGTGGCTGGAATTCCAGTCATCAGGCAACAAGAAAGAGAAAGGGCAAAGGATACAAAGAACCTTCTTCTAGCCAAGCCAGCTCATTTTAAGTACCACATTCACGTTGCTGCCTCTAGCTGCAAGGAAGTTTAGTGTCTTAGTCTTCTCGGGTTACCATAACAAAATACCACAGACTGGGTTGTTTAAATAACAGAAATGTATTTCTCAAAGTTTTGGGGGCTGGGAGGATCAAGGTGCTGACAAGGTTTCATTCTGACATCTCTTCTCTTGGCCATCTTGCTGTGTGCTTACATGATTTCTTCTTGGTGCAGGTGAGGGTGGGGGAGAGACTGCTGTTTAGCAGCTCTCAGGTCTCTACATATAAGGACATGGATCCTATCAGATAAAATCTACCTTTATGACCTCATTTAATCTTACTTACCTCCTTATAGGTCCTGTCCTCAATACTATCATATTGGGGGTTAGGGCTTTGACATGAATTCAGGGGTACACAGTTCAGTCCATAGCAGTTAGGAAGCGTAGCAGTTGGGTGTATTGCTGCCCTGAATAAAAAAAGATCCCATTAAGAAGAAGAAGAGCATGGCTATTGGGTAGCAGCTGGTAGTCATTGCACAGGGGCTCTTGGCTGAGTTTCCCAGGCTGATGATCAGGGGTTTGGAATTGGGACCCTATGGAGTGTTCATTGAAGGCAGGTAAGGGTAATCTGTATAAAATTATGCATAAGAAATTATGAAAAGAAATGAGGGATATTTAGGAATTATTCTGATAAAAAATAGTTCCTGTTCTTAAGAAAGTGGTATCCCAAAGAGAAGTTGGGGAACCTTTTTTCTCTTTAAGAGTACAACCATAGGTAAATATCTATCAGCAAGAAGGGGCAAATCACCAATGATGCTGATTTTTACATTCCCTATCTTCTCAACAAGTGAGTTTTCTACTATTCATATCTTCTTCCCTAGGTTTCCTGTATAGGACAGAAGTTATAATTAGTAGATTGCCCTTGAGACTCTTGGTGAACTTTTTCCAGAAGGGAATAAACCAGCACTTGAAAACTACAGGTATAGCCCTGGCTGGTTTGGCTCAGCGGTTAGAGCGTTGGCCCGAGGACCAATGAGTCGCAGCTTTGATTCTGGTCCAGGGCATGTACCTCTCTTGCGGTTCATCTTGGCCTTGGTCGGGTCATGTGGGAGGCAACCAGTCAACATGTCCCTCTCACATCGATGTTTCTCTCTCTCTCTCTCTCTGTCCCTCCCACTCCATCTGGTGATAAACAGAAAAATATCCTCGGGTGAGGATTAAAAAATTTTTTTAGGGTACAGGTATAACTCAGTTTCACCAAAAGTATTTGTCTCATATTCTTCGCTACACTTCTGCAAGGGGGTTCGGAGGAACTGGTTATAGGGCCTATTACATGGCTCTGAAACTCTGGAGCCTGGAAGATCTTAGGTCCCATTGAAAATGTTTTAGTCTCTTTGAACCCTAGGAATTGCATATTATTTCTATCCATTGCTTGTTAAAACTTTCAAAAATTTTGGGTCTTGATTATGTGGAAGTGTAGTAAATAATGAAAAAGCCTCCTTTCAGTTTGTGTTTGGAACCAATTGAGAGAGATGCAGGAGCTGAATGGATATAAGTTTCATACTGTTCTTTATAAAATTGGAAATTTGACTTTACATTTGAGACCAGGATAGTTTGCTAGCTCCCTCTGCCCTTGAATAGTTGGGCTTACTCCCTCCCCGAGTGGCAGCCTCTCAGAGAGACAACCATAGAATACATATACTCTCTATAGGCAGGCTAGCTTTGAAAGAGAAGAATTAAATCATGTTCAGTTTCTTCTCCCATATTCACTGATCATTGAGTAAAGGGCTCAGATGAGAGACCAGATTCCACCGTATGTAAAGATGAGATACAGGGGAATAAGTGTTCCCTTCCAGCGGTGAGGAATGTCTGGCCTGTGAAATCATTACCAGGTAACATCACACGCCTCACCAAATTAGCCTGACCAAATATAGCAGGCTAATTTTTAAGTTGATAATTTTGTATGGCCTGTGAATGATGTTATAAATATCCAAATGGCCGTTGGCAGAAAAAAAGGTCCCCCACCCCATTGGGAGAGGTAACCCTTAAAATCTTTGATATTTTCTAGTCATTCATATGGCATCCAGCTATACAGCTAGGGAATGTAATATTTTGAAAAGGAACATAAAGATATTAACCCATGGGAGATACACCTAGTCTATTTATATTAATCAGTAAATATGGTGGTAAGATGTAGTATGTCCATGAATTGATTTTTCAAATTTGATTCAAATCATTAAATAAGGTTGTTTCTCTTTTCTTTTTTAGATTTTAATCCTTAGTGTTGGTGTCCATAGATTTCAAGTTCATAATTGCCACTAAAATTCTACTTACCTTTATATAGAAGAAAATATTTTTATGGTGCATCAGTCTGTATCTAAACAGTGTCCCTGATGTTAACGTGTATCCCAAAATGCATACTATTTGAAATACTGTCTAAGAGCTACACTATTTAATTCAGATTTGTGATCTTAGGCATTAAAAATGTTAGTGTGTAGCTGATTTTTTAACTGGAATGTGTGTTATCTTATAGTCTAATTACAAGTCTTATTACAACAAAAACTACTGAAACTTGTTTTCATTTTAAAAACCTCTAAATCCAAAGGAGAATTTTACTCATTTTTCTGTGAACTTTCTTCTACTGGACTGTGCTCAGAGAGGAGCCTGCACAGAGATGTGAGCACCAGGAAGGTGGAGCTGAGTACTACTGTAGAGCCTCTGCCACAGCCTCTTGAATACTTCAGAAGTGCTGCTTCCAATACACACATAACTTTAGTTACCTTTTGTTAGCTCCCTCAGCCGCAGGCTAGTACTGTGTATATTTCATCAGTGATTACACTGCACATGGAGATAGTGTTTACTTGTCATTGATCATAGAACAATAATCATTATATGTGGAACTTCTTGATGTTAGAATATTTCCTGGCTTGATGAAAAAGATTACCGAGAAAATTAGTCTCTGGGCTTAATGTATTTGCCTGGGTCTGATTTCCATCTTAAAACCTTAGTTCAGGTTTCACATCTGTCCCTGACGAATCACTTAAGCCACTGATTTCCAGGCTTCTACGACTCTTGATTCTAGAGTATGAATAACATCGGAGAAAGTATTTTGTGAACTGAAAACTTGTATGAATGAAAGCTGGTATTATGACATATTAATATTATGATTTGAGAATCTGACATTAGGAATGCTAGTTCACTAAGTTGTTATTTAGACAAAGTGTATTAATCTTTGAATTGTAATCTTGAATCGTGGCTATTATTATTGTTTTTTTCACCTGGAAGAGGTTTTATTTATTGTGGTATAATTGACATTATTTTTATTGTATAATTGACAGTATTATATTGTGCTATAATTGACTTAATGATAGAATATTTGTGTATATTGTGAAAAGATCACCACATTAAATCTAGTTAATATCCATCACCACACACAGTTACAAATTTGTGTGTGATGGGAACTTTAAAGATCTACACTCTTAGCCACTTTCAGATATATAATATTATATTATTAACTATAGTCACCATACTGTATGTTACATCCCAGGACTTATTTTATAACTGGAAGGTTGTACTGAATCTTTGTTATTATTAATACTAATGTAGATGGTTATTCTGGAGCACTTTTAAAATTCTAAATGTTCTGAGAACCTTAAAAATAGCTACAGAAAAACCCTCCAAATCTGAGAAACATTAATAAATTTTAGAAGAAGAAAAAGAAATAACCAAGCATGTAAACAATTGCTTGTATGACCTGATTAGATTTTAAAAGAATCTAATCATTTAATATGAAATTGAAAAAATGTAGATGATATTCAGTGGAATGTTTTTATGTATGTATGTTTCATTCTAGTTTGATACAGTTTATTCCTACACATTGGTTGTGTGTGTGTGTGTGTGTGTGTGTGAGAGAGAGAGAGAGAGAGAGAGAGAGAGACTAATGGTTTTGATACTATATTTTTTACTGGATTTGTTGTTTTTTTAAAGCATGTTTAGAAGTTAATACATTGATCTCCAAGTTGGGATTTTAGGGTGATGTTTTTATTTAATGAAAAATCTGTTAACAAGTGAGCACTATTGTCCATGAATCATGTGTTTTCATTCCAGTGCTTCATCTGTTGAATAAGGGCTAAAAGTTTAAGATTTGAATAGCACATAATTTTTCATCTTAGAGCTAGCAGATTATTCATTTAATTATTCCCCCTCCCCTGACACACACACACACACACACACACACACACACGCACACACACACAGTGTTACGGCATTAACACGAAAGGGCAGTACACTGAGGTGCTAGTTCCTGAACTTGACAAGAATCACCTGGGGATTTTTAAAAATACTGTTTTCTGCCTCATGACCCAAGATATTCTGATTTAATTGCTATGAGATTTTTAAAAATCTCACCAGATGATTCTAGTGTGCAGCACAGTTCGTGAATAACGGTACCAGCGTTTGAGGACCTGGAGTAAATAATGTTGGGTAAGATAGGATAAGAACTTTTTGGAAATGGGGTTTATAGCTCCCGGGCTTCTGCATTTGATCATGCATTTGTAAACTTTAAAAAAGATCTTATATTTGGAAATGAAAACTGGTTTGTAGAATTAGTCTTCAATAAATGGAAATTGGTTTTATGACTATCATTAAAGCTATGTTTATTGAGCACCTAAATTTTGACCTTTCTTAGTGTGTAAAAAATCAAGATGAAACAAGCAAAAAAACTCCCAAATTCTGGAGGTCAGAATGCTTTAGTAAATTATGAGAAGACAACTTTCCCACACATTGATTGCTGCTAGCTAAAATAAAAAAGTCAAAACCTATTTAAAATGTGGACATTGCTTCCCAATATTTTAACAGAGAGAGACTGAGAACACACAGCATCGAATCGTCAGGAAAACTGAAGATCTCCCCTGAACAGCACTGGGATTTCACTGCAGAGGACTTGAAAGACCTGGGAGAAATTGGACGAGGAGCTTATGGTTCTGTCAACAAAATGGTCCACAAACCGAGTGGACAAATAATGGCAGTTAAAGTAGGTGAAGCCCATAATTATTTTTGGTACTTTAATCCATTAGGTGCAATTTCTTGGTGTAGTAATATTGCTGTTTTGTTCTTACTTTTGTAAATATGGGTTTTTATAAAATTGTTTCTTCGAATTCTTTGAGGGTGTTTTGTATAGAGCTTGTCTTATTGGTGACACGTTTTCTATCTCTTTAGAACCATGAGTATATAAAGTATGCATGTTTGCTGCACTTTTGGCATGATGCACTAACATGTTTTAAACTTCAGGCCCTTCCACTGCCAAGGTGAGTTCAGGCTGGGCGGCTGCACCCCTGGGAGCAGGGCAGTGCTGCGCTGAGCCAGGCGGGGAGCTGGAAGAAGAGGCAGCACACTGGGTTGGGCAAGGTGCGGGGCTAGGGCTAACAGCAGTCTTACTGAAGGTTTCCTGGAAACCACACACATGCTGTTGCCACTAACCTCAACCTTACTCGGTCCTGACCGGCTCGGCTTCTGTTTGTTTATTTCATCTCCACTCAGTACTGCCCTGTTCCCTGGCTTGAAAGTTGTATTGAAATGCATACCTTGTGATAATGCTGTCACATTCTGTCCTTACTGTGAGTGTCATGCCACTTAATATGTTAATTTAAAAAAAATCAAGAATGGCTAGAAATGGAGATTGGCCCATAGACTGTACTTGGCAGGCTTATGTTGGTACCTGTAATGAATTGACAGTTTCTGGCCAACTCTTCGTAGGCCCATGTAATTATAATTTGCTCATTTGTTTGTTCAGATGTTTAATAAATATTTGTTCTGTGTAAGATATTTTACGAAAATTGAAAATTGGGGTGGAGGGCAATTTAAGGAGAAAAAAGAAAAAAAATAAGATATGGATATATTGTCATTGGACTTAAAATTCTTAGAGTGGTAAATAATGTCCCAGTTTGCAGGAATTGAGGATGGGTTTGCAGAATGTCTAAACTAACCATCTTCCTGTTAATTCCCTATTTTGAGAGTTTATCAAAGTGGCTTGATGAGAGAAGGAGCCTCAGTTTCTTACTTGATTTTAGGGAGTGGATTTATATTATATTAATATAAAAGGCTACCTATGTTGAAGTTTATTTTGAGCAAAATTGTCACTATTTTAGCCTCTTTCATTTTTGAACATTTCTCTTTGCTGGATCATATAAAACTACTGAGAAATTAATGGTGGGAAAAATTTTATGATTCTGTGGGTTCTTAATCTTGTTTTTGGTCATATTCTTACGCAGTGTGATGAGAACTATAGACATTTCTCTCAGAAGATGCATACATGTCTGACATTTTGGATGTAACCCGTAGACCTGTAAAGGTGAAGACGCTGAGACCTTTGCTCTGGGTTTTTTGTTGAAATAAAATGTTGTTTTTCTTAAAATGTGAATTATTTCTCTTGATTTTTTTTTTTTTTTTGCCACTGTAGTTAGTGGAAAGAAAGTCATTGTATTTAGACTATTTTGATGAGTGTTGCATTACCATTTGTTATGTGTCATGTCATCCACTTTTACTTAGCTGGGTCTTAGCGAAATTTAACCTATATAACTAAGTTCTAGCTAAGTACTAGGGAAGGTGCTTTTGAATAATCCTGCTGTTTTCCATTTGTGCTGTGTGCTTCATGATGTTAATCCACATCGTGGTCTGTTTTAGTAATTGGACTGGCTTAGCCCAGGTTAATAGGTTTTAAAGGTAAATAAAGAAGGTACTTCATTTTGATGTTTAAAACGTTTTTCTTAATTTGATAACATTTGGAACTGTATAGTGCTTACTCAAGTTTTGAAGGAATTTAAAAGTGAGAATAGGAAATTGTCTGTCATTTGTATTTTGAGAGTGTCTGTTGGGATGCTGTTAAAAATCCCAACTCTTGCCCTGACCACTGTGGTTCATTTGGTGGGGCATCATCTCGTGCACCAAAAGGTTGCTGGCTTTGATTCCTGGTCAGGGGACATCCGTGGGGTTCGGATTTGATCCCTGGTGGGGGGTGTGCAGGAGACAGCCTGACCGATGTTTCTCACATCGATGTTTCTCTTTCTCTTTCTGTATGGCAAATGGGAACATGGGCCCCTTCCCAATCTCCAGTTACCCCTCCCACCCTGTGGAAAGACAATGAAGGTCATCAGTAAGTGGACTGTAAGACGTTGGGAGCCTGGCCGGCTCCTCAGTCAAGAAAACAGCTAGCGATTTTGATCTTACACAGGCCCACCCACCTCCCCCTGCATGCCTGTTTTTTTTTTTTTTTTCCTGTGCTCTACAAAACCTTGTGTTTGGAAAGTCTGGGTGGTGGTGAAATAATAGCACCAGCCTGCCTCCCCATGTGTGGCCCGGGGACTTAGCGGTTCAACTTTACTGGTGGCAGCTGGTGTGGCGGTGAACTTCTCTGGTTGGCTGCCACTGGTATGCATGTAAGTCCTGATAAACCATGTCTCTCACAGCCAGACCTCCGGTTTTCTGGGACCTCAGCACTTTGCACAACACTCTCCCTCTCCCTTTGTCTCTCTCTAACAATTAATAAAAATATATTTTAAAATCCCAGCTCTTAAAAAATACTTCTAAGGCAGTCTTGGGATTTACAGACTGGTAATGGTCACATTTATACCCACTACTTGATACATCTACCTTGGTTTATCACCTGGAATTCTTGAGCAAGTGTGATAGTTTAGCATGAGGAGGGTGGTGATATGACATATTAATCAATGTAGTGATGGGGTGTACTTGATACAAATTTGATGACACATATGCCAGCTATTATAAAATATATTTATTGTTGGACTCTTTGAAAAAGCTCAGCCTTTCATCACACCTAAGACAGTGTGTTCCCTCATTACTTAGGCACACAAACCAGACTGAGAAGTACAAATACATAGAAGCAATGTTTGGTTGAGGAGTTAGATTTGACACTGTACATGTAGGAAGTGAGTCACTGAGCACCCACTGTCCTTAGCTCTGAAATCGAGACTGTGGAGATCTAACTGAACTATGAGACCATGGTTTACAGTCCTGTGGGTTTTCCATTGCTTTTGGTGAAATGAGAAATACTGGAAGTAGCTCTGTACTAGTGTTTAAAAAAATTTTTTTTCTTTTTTGATTTTTAGAGAGGAAGGGAGAGGGAAAACGAGATAGAAACATCGATGAGAGAGAACATTGATTGGCTGCCTCCGGCAGGCCCCCCACTGGGGATCGGGCTTGAGCCCACAACCTGGGCATGTGCCCTGACTGGGAATTGAACCGGCGACCTCTTGGTGCATGGGTCAATACTCAACCACTGAGCCACACTGGCGGGATGTACAAGTGTTTTAATGTGCACTTTGGGACTTTAGAAGGATTACTTTATTAGATATTAAGCTTATCCTGGAAATCATCCTTAAGACTTACTTGCAGTATCTGTACAAAAATGAACTGTGGTAGTAGCCTGATAGTGAAGTAATTATTATTTCTCATTTTTAGTTCTGAGTGAGCCCTTCCCCAAGTTTATTTTGCCAAATACAAGAAATGTTCGAAAAGCTAACCTATTAGTTACCAGAAATAATTACCTTGAAGACTAAATGTAAAAATCAGTTAAGATATAATAAATCAACCCCGGCTGGTTTGGCTCAGCGGTTGGAGTGTCGGACTGCCGACCATAGAGTTCCGGGTTCAGTTCCCGCTAAGGGCACGCACCTCGGTTGCAGTTTGTCCCCGGCCCCGGGGGCCGTGTGGGTGGCAATCACTCGATGTGTCTCTTTCACATTGATGTTTCTCTTGCTCTCTTCCTCCCATTCTATATGAAGATAAATGCAAAAAAAAAAAAAAAAAAAAAAAGTACTCGGGTGAGGATAAAAAAAAGATATAATAAGTCAGATTCAGTAAGGTAACATTTTTAGTCGAGTTATACTTAAAATACTTTTTTGACCTGAGGATAGCCCCCAAGCTGCTAGTGGGGTTCAGTGTTAGGATGAAAGATGTGGAAAAATTTAACCCTTCAGTTGTTACTGCACACTGGGAAAACAGCCTTCCTCTTCTCTTCTGTGAGTGGTGGGGATACGACTAGTTTGTCTAACTCAGCCTGAATGACTAACTGAGTCACAGGGCTGCTGCGGGCAAAGCTGTTGTCACCACAGGGCCTTCTAGTGCTCCAGGGGACAGCCTTTAGCTCTGGCTGGGGACTTTCAGACTTTGATCAGCATCCTCTGTGAATAACACGTGATGCCCATTTTGCATGGTAACCACTGGCATGACCGCTGAATGAAGACATTCGACATGTTCAGCCACCGTCCTCTGAGAGTAAAGTAGGTGCCTGGTTAGCTCTCGGCAGATTAACCATAAAAAAGCCAAGGATTCAGAACAAACATTTGAACAAGTGCTCAGATCAGGTTTCTGAGCTAGGATTAGAGACACCCAGGAGAGTTAGGTCCACAGACGATCAGAATCAAGATGTCAGAGTAATCTTGGGACACAGGAGTAAAGAACTAGACAGTAGCTGAGTGTCTAGTTCAGGCCCGTGGGCTGGAACTGAGTGGAGTGACACACACATCGCTGGCAGGGAGGAGTGATTCTGAGCACTCAGGCCCGACTGTGCGCCCCCACTGGGCCCTGCCGCAGTGCAAATCCTGCTTGCCTAGACTGCCGGCTTCCCTGATGTCGCCTAACACTCATGTCCACGCTGATTTCCTGAAGGCGTGCGTGCCTATGAGAGAAGAAACAGAAGAGTAGAAAAGAATGAAAATGAGAGGGAACACGAGGGAATGAAATGGCTGTCGTTAAAGATGGAAGGCGATGGGATTGTTATGTGGAAGGGTGATGCTGGAATAAAGCTGTCATCTCATTGGAGAATGGAACTACTATTGGACAGTATGTGGGGTTAGGAAGGTGTTATGTTGAAGACTGTCACCATTGATCAGTATGATGAGCTTTTAGTCTTTTATTTGCGAAGTTACCTGGGTTAATCAGAAAAACAGATTGGCTGTTTGAGGTGAGGTTTGTAGGCCGGACTGAATTGGACTGAATTTGTGATGCGACCTTGTA